CGTAGGCACAGTAGTAGTTTTCTCAGTGGTAGGCACAGTGGTCGTTTCCATAGTGGTAGGCACAGTGGTTATTTTCACAGTCATAGGCACAGTAGTAGTTTTCTCAGTGGTAGGCACAGTGGTCGTTTTGACAGTGGTAGGCACAGTGGTCGTTTCCATAGTGGTAGGCACAATGGTTGTTTTCGCAGTCGTAGGCACAGTAGTAGTTTTCTCAGTGGTAGGCACAGTGGTCGTTTCCATAGTGGTAGGCACAGTGGTTGTTTTCACAGTCGTAGGCACAGTAGTAGTTTTCTCAGTGGTAGGCACAGTGGTCGTTTCCACAGTGGTAGGCACAGTGGTCGTTTTCACAGTGGTAGGCATAGTAGTTGTTTCCATAGAGGTAGACACTGTCGTAATTTTAATAGCGGTAGGCAAAGTAGTATTTTTCACAGTGGTAGGCATAGAAGTTGTTTCCACAGTGACAGGCACAGTGGTAATTTTAATAGTGGCAGGCATAGAATTTGTTTCCACAGTGGTAGGCACAGTTGTCGTTTCCACAGCATTAAGAGCAGTGGTACTTTCCTCAGCGGTTGGCCCAGTTGTACTCGTTTCAGCAGTACTTTTCCCAGGGGTAGGCACCATCGTAGTTTCCACCGGGGTAGAGATAGTGTTAGTTTCCCTAGTCTTAGACGTCGTTGTAGTTTTCTCAGTGCTGGACCCTGTGGTATTTTGCTTGAGGGTAGGTACAGTAGTACTACCTGTAGGGATAGGCACAGTAGTACTCTCCTCAGAGGTGACCAAAGTGGTGCTTTTTTCTGGGGTAGACATAGCGGTGCTTTCCTCTGGGGTAGGTACAGGGGTGCTTTTCTTATAGGTGGAAATAATGGTGCTTTCCTCTTGGGTAGATAGAGGCATGCTTTTCACTTGGGTGGGCACAGTGGTGGTTTTCTTTGCGTCAGACACAGCACTAGTATTTCCGGCAGGGGTAGGCACAGTAGAACTTTCCACAGAGGTTGGCACAGTAATGCTTTCCTCAAGGGTACGCACAGCAGTACTATTCAAAGGTGTGGACACCGTAACACCCTTCTCAGATGTAGTTACAGAGGTATTCTCTTTAGGGGTAGAAACACCAGTACTTTTCATAGATGTAGACACAGTAGTAAGTTCCACAGGGCTGGTCACGGTGGTATTTTCCGCAGTGGTACTTTTCTCGGGTATAGTCATAATAGTAGTTTGCTTAGATGTAGGTACGGAAGTACTTTCCTGAGTGGTGGTCACAGTATTATTTTCATCAGGGGTAGGCACCGTAGCAGTGGAACTTCCTACAAAGGCAGTACTTTTCTCAGTCGTAAACACTCTGGTACTTTCTGGTGTAGACACAGTGGTATTTTCCTCTGGAGTAGGCCTGGTAGTACTTTCCCCGGATGTAGACACTGCAGAACTTGCTTCAGGGGTAGACCCAGAAGTACTTTCCTCAGGGGTTGGCCCAGAAAAATCCTCCTCAGATGTCGAAACAGGAGTATTTTCCTCCGGGTCAGCCACAGCAGTAGTTTCCTCGGGTTTTGTCACAGCAGAACTTTCCTCAGGTGTAGGCAAAGTGGTAATTTCCTCAGGGGTGGGCACAGTGCTACTTTCCTCAGGTGTATAGTCAGTAGTAGTTTCCTCGAGGGCAGGGTCAGTAGTACTTTTTTCATGTATTTCTACAGCAGTACTTTCTTCAGGCGCCAAAACAGCAGTACTTTCCACAGTAGTGGATTCAGGAAAAGTTTCAACGGTATCGTCTTCATTGGTACGCTGGGCCGTGGTTTCCGAGGTGGTAAAGTCACCAGTAGTTGTCTCTACTGTTATTAAATGCGAGGTACTAACCACTGTGGATTGAACATCACTGGGCAAAGTACTTTCACTATCAAAATGTTTTGTCGTAGTCGCATCATTAGAGTCTTTGTAAGCTGTAGAATTAACACGTTCCACAGTAGAGGTTAAAGTAACGTTTGACACTGTTGTCGTAGACGTACCAGCAGTATTAGATTCAGTTGAAATTTTGCTTGTGGTAGTGATTTTGCCTGTAGTGGTGTCTAAAGAACCTTGTCTATCCATGCTCCCAGAAGTGGTTTTCACAGTGGTGGACTCCAGATCCATTTTGGTCTCAGTCGTCGTAGTGTTCAGCTGTGTGGTGGGCGTTGCTGTGGTGATTGGAGAATCAGAATCAGCAATAGACTGACTAGTGGTATGTCCCATTGCAGTGTGCGCAGTAGAAGGTTCGCCAGTGCTGCCAAGAGACGTCGAGACTTGGGTCTCGTTTCCCTTGGAGGTGGACACGGGAGTTTTTTGTGCAATCAGAGCAGGTTCTACAATAACCTGTTTATCTGCAATGTCCAAAGACGCTTCTGCACTGATTTCTTCGGTGGAGTTTGTAACATTTTGAACATTCCAAACCTCTGTCAGTTGACTAGGATTGTTAGTGGTCTGTAACAACGAAGATTCGGTAGTGTTCCTTGCAGATATGTTGTTCCTATCTACAGATGTTAAGGGTGACATCGACTTAGCTAGTAGTCCGTCTGTGGAGGAGTATGACGCCGGAACACCTGTGAAATCAGCAAAAGGATGATTTTTGTCTGAGAACTTGTTTTCCCAAGAGTGAGGGAATTTTAGTATTCTAACATGCGCCTGCTTTCCATGCTCTAAAAACATCCACAGATTTTAAAAGGATCCGCTTTTATTTCAATGTCGTCTTAATTTGATTTCCTAGGATCCAAAAACTTGCAAAAATTTCACCATTATTGCAGACACCATTTAAATCCGACAGCACGGGAAGATAAGTCCGAGAACGATCAGAATGGTACTAGTTATGCAAAGACGAGATGAGGCCGGGTAGGGGAAACTGAACAGCGCGCACTGAATGCGATTTTCAGCTCACTCTGACCGCCCAACCTAAAGCCTTTATTGTAAGGCATTGTTGGGTTTTTTACAGTGGGGCAACATCGTTTTCTGGACGAAGCAGACTGTAACCCTTCCCTCGCCAAGAATAGCTTTGCTAGTTGCGAGCTGTGTGGCTTCATAGCTCAGTTGGTAGAGCATAGCACCGTTATCGCGGAGGTCATGGGTTCGAATCCCGTTGAAGCCCTGATTTTTTCAGGCTTCTTCTTTCAAATTGCTTAAATTGGAAAATTTACTGCGATGATCATTCTTCACTTTCATCTACAACCGCAGTTNTCTCTTGTCGGTGTTTGGATATCCGGATGAATCACTGTCTCTCGTGTTTGGTAGTGAAACTACTTTGCCCAGTGATGTTGGAGGAACACTAACAGTAACTTTTACGTAATAAAAAAGTTACATAAACGTTACCGTTAGTGTTCCTCGACAGCCTGTCTCGGCTAACTGAGAAAATAGCTGGATAGGAAACGCGTCGCAACTGCAACAACTTACCAACACAAAATCCCTCTTGTAGTACATAGCCATCACAGCAGCGTTGACATTGCTCTCCGCATGTGTTGTGTTGACAGTGGCAAGCCATGAGTCCACTGTCTGTCTGCGTGCACTCATCTGCATGGCCGTTACACATACACCGTCCTTCTATGGATATCTCGCTTATTGAGTAATAGTCCTAAATGACAGAGCACACGACAAACAAGGAATTTTCGATTTATTCTTTTTGACGTCTGTCACAAATGCCCTGGCACGTCTGCGAGCTCTGTCTTCCAGAAAGCAGTATAAACATACAACATGTTAATTGTAGCATGTTAAAGTGGTACTATGACGAAAATCGCATCTTTCCTATCGCAGCCATTTTAAAACATAAACAAGTGGCCTGTGTGAGAAGAAAAATGTTGTTTACTATATTCAAATATCTCTTTTCGTTCCAGAGATATTCGAGTTTGTAAAATATGCAAATTAGCCCAGTGATGATGTCATACGCTCAACCAAATTTTAATCAAATATGATGAAAAAAGATATCTCCGCCAATTCGAATCAGAAATGTTTGATTCTTTGCAG